TGAACATCATACATGTACATACAAATCGAACATCATACATGTACAGCATACAGTACGAATATCACACATGTACATACAATCTGAACATCATACATGTACATACAGTCCAAACATCATACATGTACAGCATTTAATCCGAACATCAAACATGTATATACAGTTCGAAAATCATACATGTACATACAGTCCGAACATCATACGTGTACATACAGTCCGAACATCATGCATGTACATACAGTCCGAACATCCTACATATATATACAAATAATCCGAACATCATGCATCTACATACAGCCCAAACACCATTCCTGTACTATAATCCAAACTTCAGACATGTACATACAATCTGAACATCATACAACATACAATCGGAACATCATACATGGACATACAGTCCGAACATCCTACATGTACTTACGGTCCGAACATCATTCATGTACGTATAATCCAAACTTCATACATGTACGTACAATCCGAACATCATACAATGTACATGTTCCTACAGTCCGAACACCATACATGTACATACAGTCCGGACATCAAACATGCACATACATTCCTAACATCATACTTGTACATTCCGTCAGAACATCATACATGTACACTCAATCCGAACATCATACATGTACATACAATCAGAACATAATACATATACACACAGTCCGAACATCATATAAGTACATACAGTCCGAACATCATGCATGTACATACGGTCCGAACATCCTACATATATATACAAATAATTCGAACATCACACATGTACATACAGTCCTAACATTATACGTGCACATACAGTCTGAACTACATACATGTACATAGGTCCGAACATCATACATGTACATACAGTCCGAACATCATACATGTACATACATTCCGAACATCATACAATGTACATGTACCTACAGTCCGAACACCATACATGTACATACAGTCCGAACATAACACATGTACATACAGTCCTAACATTATACAGATACATAAGTCCGAACATCATACATGTACATACAGTCCGAACATGATACATGTACATACAATCCGAACATCATACACGTACATACAGTCCGAACATCATACATGTACATAAGTCCGAACATCATGCATGTACATAAGTCCGAACATGATACATGTACATACAGTCCGAACATGATACATGTACATACAATCCGAACATGATACACGTACATACAGTCCGAACATCATACATGTACATAAGTCCGAACATCATGCATGTACATAAGTCCGAACATGATACATGTACATACAGTCCGAACATGATACATGTACATACAATCCGAACATGATACATGTACATACAGTCCGAACATCATACATGTACATAAGTCCGAACATCATACATGTACATAAGTCCGAACATCATACATGTACATACAGTCCGAACATGATACATGTACATACAATCCGAACATCATACACGTACATACATTCCGAACATCATACATGTACATAAGTCCGAACATCATACATGTACATAAGTCCGAACATGATACATGTACATACATCCCGTAATCATTCCTGTACGTATAATCCGAACTTAATACATGTACATACAGTCCGAACATCATACATGTACATACAGTCCGAACATCATACATGTGCAAACAGTCCGAACATCATATATGTACCCACAGTCCGAACATCATACATGTACCTACAGTCCGAACATTATATATATACATACAGTCCGAACATCAAACATGTACATACAGTCCGAACATCATAAAACATACAATCTGAACATCATATATGTACATACAGTCCGAACATCATACATCTACATACAGTCCGAACATCATATATGTACATACAGTCCGAACATAACACATGTACATAAGTCCTAACATTATACATGTACATAAGTCCGAACATCATACATGTACATACAGTCCGAACATGATACATGTACATACAGTCCGAACATGATACATGTACATACATCCCGTACATCATTCCTGTACGTATAATCCGAACTTAATACATGACATACAGTCCGAACATCATACTTGTACATGCAGTCCGAACATCATACATGTGCAAACAGTCCGAACATCATATATGTTCATACAGTCAGAACACCCTACATATACATACAGTCAGAACATCATACATGTACATTCATTCCTAACATCATGCATGTACATTCAGTCAGAACATCATACAGGTACATACAGTTCGAACATCATATAAGTACATACAGTCCGAACATCATGCATGTACATACAGTCCGAACATCCTACATATATATACAAATAATCCGAACATCATGCATCTACATACAGCCCAAACACCATTCCTGTACTATAATCCAAACTTCAGACATGTACATACAATCTGATCATCATACAACATACAATCGGAACATCATACATGGACATACAGTCCGAACATCCTACATGTACATACGGTCCGAACATCATTCATGTACGTATAATCCAAACTTCATACATGTACATACAATCCGAACATCATACAATGTACATGTTCCTACAGTCCGAACACCATACATGTACATACAGTCCGAACATCATCCGTGTACATACAGTCCGAACATCATACATGTACATACAGTCCGAACATCATACATGTACATACAATCCAAACATCATACATGTACATACAATCAGAACATCATACATATACACACAGTCCGAACATCATATTAGTACATACAGTCCGAACATCATGCATGTACATACGGTCCGAACATCCTACATATATATACAAATAATTCGAACATCACACATGTACATACAGTCCTAACATTATACGTGCACATACAGTCTGAACTACATACATGTACATAGGTCCGAACATCATACATGTACATACAGTCTGAACATCATACATGTACACACAATCCGAACATCATACATGTACATACAGTCTGAACATCATACATGTACACACAATCCGAACATCATACATGTACATACAGTCTGAACATCATACATGTACACACAATCCGAACATCATACATGTACATACAGTCTGAACATCATACATGTACACACAATCCGAACATCATACATGTACATACAGTCTGAACATCATACATGTACACACAATCCGAACATCATACATGTACATACAGTCTGAACATCATACATGTACACACAATCCGAACATCATACATGTACATACAGTCTGAACATCATACATGTACACACAATCCGAACATCATACATGTACATACAGTCTGAACATCATACATGTACACACAATCCGAACATCATACCCGAACATCATATCTTTGTAATACATCTCTGATAACGACTATTAGCTGCCACTAGATAAATAACGACGTGACACATTTTTATGATATGTATACGAAATCCCACTCCATATTTGATATAGTTTGATTTCGTTATACACGCTAAAGCTTGATAAACTATAATAGATACTGTACACTTAAAAGAATTAACTCGTGTTGAAATGTAACATGATTTTCACACTGTGAACCAGATAATTTGTGTTATCTTTTTTGTTACAGATGTTCGTTTTTTTAATACTCGTTCATGTTCACATGTTTCAGGCAATATCATGGTAGGCGATATTTCAGACCTACATAAAAAGCTCTGCCATTTATCCTTATAATATATCTCTTGATCATCTACATTTTCTTTTTGCCGCTCTATCTTAAATACACCCAAAACAAACAAAAATATATCAAATATCAGTTTTTCAAACGTTGATATTTTATAGGAATTTATTGATTTGAGACGTTGGAATTTTCTGTCTAATTGTACTCTGGTTTCGTACCACACTGATATATCAAAAGAAATTATGTTATCTATTTATATCATACATGTAGTGATTTACGTTAAATCTCAGTACCTGTACTTACTGATAAAACTATAATGCATAGAGTAAATGAACAGTTTCGGATTACCTAAATCTGAAGTTAAACGGATATTAATTTCATGAAATTCAATGCGATGATGTGTAGTTGATAAAAGCTCTGAAAAACGTCATTGTACGGAGGGGATGTATTTTTAAACGTAAATTGTCAATTAAATACGTAAGGATGATGTGTTAATTTGTTCTCTAGAAAATATCTTTAACGAAACAAGCGATGTGTAGTAAACAATCCGTAAGTTATCCGGATATATCGTAACGGCATTACAATGTACGGACGTGTTATTAGTGTATTGAGTCACATTCTAAAGGGCGCCATAACGACGGAGAGGTGTCCCACATCTACACCTCGTCAATCGTCATTACAACCATATTTATTCATTGGTGGAGCGGTAAGTACAGTCGTACATATTCCGTACTTATATTTGAGTAATAGTAACACCATTTACACCAAATGAACATGTAAATAGAGTGTATTTACTTAGAATACGTTCATTGTAATCGTAGAATATGTTGTAGCGGCTGTAATAATGTTAGACGTACGGAAACCGAAAGAGGAAGTACATGACGTCACCAGTTTACTATCTATGCACAAAAGAGTACGAAAGGCATTGTTTGTTCAGTTATACCACCGAAGGATACCATAATGTGATGGCTTTACGTATCCAACGGCGTCATTTTCTGATTACAAACAGAGCGGAAGTAACAGGAAAAGTTGGGCAAACTCTCGTTCTATAAATAAATTGTTATGGTATGGTTGACCGAGAAACGTGTGTGTGTGTATATATGTATACATGTGTCTGCGTGGATACACGCGTGAGTATGAAGGGTCGTCAGGGCTTGAACTCTTCCATTGGAAACGCATTGTCGTAGGGTATCACTGAAATTGTTGTTAAAATCTTGTTAAATGATATGAACATATCGGAAGTTAATTGTTCGAACACATTCATGTCTATTTTGAATAAATATGTATTATACTCTGTGATATGAATTGAATAATATGTAGTTTACACAGCTAAAAAGAAAATATTATATTTATATATGTCGTCATAAGTAGCGTTCAAAAAATTTACTAGTTTTCACATATTCGTAATAAACGATTTGTCGGGCGGTAAATATCTAGATTTTAAGAAGGAAATTAGACACACAAATAGTTTGAAACATACATTTTAAGAAATTTAAGGGAACATAAAAACCAAGACAACATTTTCCTTTAACAGCACACACGCACATATACATATACTGACCGGCAAAATCAAGTATACACTTTATAAAAGGCATCAGATAATTTATTTCATATTGATAAAGTCGATTTTAAATCGTAAATGTAAAATTTAATAACTATAGACAGATTTTACACAGAGTCAAGACTGCCGTCAACTACCAAAAAGGCAAACGGTCTTGCAGAACGACGTAGGGGTCATTTCAATTTTTCACGTGGTTTTGACGTCACCACTGTATACAGTCAAAATACACTTGTGACGTCAATATGTTGTGTGTCCGCCATTGTCTGCCACACAGCGTTTTCTCATGGTTAACACTAAATGTCGTTTTGATTCGACGTTACACATCGATTACAGATTCACGTCGCCGTTCTGCTCCAGGGAGTTGGTTGACATGTTCTACTTGTCGATAACACTTCAAAAGGCACTTAATCGTAAATCTCGTACAATTCATCACACGCGTCACATGACGTTTTGATCCCCCGGCTTGTAGCACCCCAATCGCACGATTTCTATCCGCTATTGAAAGTCTTGCCATATTGCCGACACACTCAAACCTGACGGCCTTTAACAGGGAAGCTTACGGAGGGCACGTGGCACAGTTTGCATGCGCATAACTTCAGTATGTCGCGCTGAGGGTATAAAATGTATGGAAGCCAATATCTTAATGTCAAACAAATTTACTGCGATTTGTGGATTTTTTTAAAATTTTGCAATGATCGATTTCACAAATATAGCAATGGTTTTCCAATAAACATTATGTTTGGCAACAATATATTTATTTTAAAAGTGTATACTTAATTTTGCCGTTCAGTATAAAAACCTTGTACGTAAGATTTCTCGACGAAGTACAAATTTCATGATAATCTAAAAATGCTATCGACTCCTTCTATCGGTGAATATGTCAGTTTGTACAGATTCGTTTGAGGGATATATAATTAAAAGAAGATTATCTCGGAAATATGTCCGAATACTGATGAAAAATATTAACAATAACAAGAAATAAACAGCAGTTTTCATGTATGCTTTTTTTAAGTCTGAACAATTAGGTACGTATATTGTACAACGGGAGGTAACTCGTAACACCTTACAATTCCCTGTTTCGATATGTAGGCTCGACGTTGCTTAACTTCGGTGATCGGACGAGAACTGGTGTTTTCAACGTGATATGGCCGTAGACATTAGCTGGCCAAAGTTATCCCCTTTTGTACCTAGGTTTGTGTATGTGCACATCCGGCGTATTACTTCCCTTAGTCTGTAAGGCATTACAGGCCCCTGGATAATTAAAGGGATATATCCATTTTATATGTGTATACTCTGAGGTAATGCATACGTCTTTTTTTCTAATGTAACGTCACTATCATCCTCTTTCAATTATTACGCCGCCTACACAAATTTTGAGTGGAATATTGGATAAATATTTGATATTGTTGTTATACTTGAGACAGGACACTCGCTCTGAGAAATAAAATGCATACAATATTTTGACTTAGTCTGAGATGTACGTACAAAATGTACGATCGTTGTTCTTTCATATCTAAAGCCATGTTTGTTTTTGTAGAACCAATCCAAATAGAGCCACGCATTTAGTCTTCACTGTATGAGTCAAATGACACGATGAGTCACAAAACGTAATATATATAAACTGCAAATGAGTGCACTATATAAGGCGAATGTACTGACTGTATTCATTATACGTAATCGTTCGACGTATTTGAAGAGTTTGAGCCATTTTGATTCAGAAAAGATGTTTTATACATCAGTTACATTTCGGCTGAAATTCACTATACCAGGCAAATGTAACGTATACACATTGAGTTTATAATAATAGTCAAGATACGTGTAAACTAAAAGCTTTTTGCATCACTTAAAATTTGTTTTGAACCTATAACAATGCTCTTTTTAACTATTCAATATTCCGTCTTTTGTTATCAGAAAAATGGATTACATGACTAACTTTTATTTCTCAGCATTTCTCTCCTATCAGCAGAATACAGGTAATACAAAATGTAAATGTTTACGAGTCAAATTGTCAGTGTTTTATACGTAACATGTCGTTACATCTCTACAGGTGTCTACAACCAAATGTGTGAATGTAATAACATGAACAATGTGTTATTTCTATCTAATTGATGAAAATAAGTTATTTACGTACCAGAAAAGTCATGCTGATAATGTTTCGTTATTCTCATACTTGCAGATACGGAACTAGCGTTTGAGTACGTATACAATGGCGGAAGGTGGTCCCCATCCAGACCCTCACTCTGAAGACAGCACACTACCAAACCTGTCGGACTCCCACCTTCTCAAATGTCCGATCTGTCTGGAGCAGTTACGTCAGCCGAAGTCTCTTCCGTGTCGTCATTCTCTTTGTGAGGAATGTTTGAGTAGCTACATCGTCAGTGAGGTGTTAGGGACGAGTGATACGGCGACTTCCTTTATCTGTCCGGTATGTAGGACCCTAACTCACCCCGTGGACAAAACAGAGGACAAAGAGAAATGGGCCCAGCAGTTCCCGACCGACACCGTTGCCATAGAGATGATACAACTAAGAAACAGGACGACAGAGCCACGTTACTGCGCGCCCTGTCAGAGAAAGGGAAGCATGACCCCTGCACAATTCTGGTGTAAAACTACTCAGTCTTTGTTCTGCGAGTCTTGTAAAGTGGATCACCATGATGTGGTCCATGTGAGCTGTGATATCGTAGATATGAGAGGTTCCGGGAATTTCCTGCTGAGACAGGAAACATCTGACAAACGATGCGACAAACACAAGAATAAGATCTCTTATTATTGTGAGGATCACAAGTCCCTGGGTTGCAGTAAATGTATAACTGTTGGTCACAGGAAATGTGACAACGTGTCCACAACAGAGGATTACTGTGAGAAACTGAATAATAGCTCCCAACTAGAGGAAATAAAGACATTTCTACAGCAAGGAGCAGACGACATGGAATCCATGATAAAGGACTTTTATCTACGACAACAGAACATTGCAGACGACAAAGATGCGGTACTGAAAAGCATCGACGACCTGCAGGAACGTATGGATAAACGTATCAGAGAGATGAAGAAGGAAATCACAGATGACGTAATCATGGCGTACAAACAGGAAAGAGAAAATCTGAAGGTGTCCACACAGAAGTGTGAACGCCTGAAGGTCGCTATACAGAATACATTAGCGTCGTCCGCTACAGCTCTACAGAGGAACGCCCATATGGACACGATCCGGCTTTACCAGAAAGGTCAGACGGAGCTCGAGGCTTGTAATGATCTAGTGAAAGAAATGCAGATGTCGATTTCAACTGTCAGTATTGAACATGAAATCGATTCGGACGTGACAAGTCTGAACTTTGGTAAAGTCGTTGTCCGAAAGCAGCAAAGAGATTTCCCAGGTGTCCCAACTCTCGGCAAACCTTTATCCCAATGTGAAGTAAAGGAAATAAGAAAGGTGACCATAAAATGTCCGTCTGATCAGTTAGATTGTGCTGCCCGTGGTGTTGTATACTTTCCTAAAGGCAGAATTGTGGTGGGAGATATAAACAATAAGAAGATCAAGTTAATCAACGACGCTGGGGATGTTGTGGACGAGTTGAAATTGGATGGAAATCCTTGGGATCTGTGTATGGTGGATAACACCACTGTGGCGGCCGCTATACAGAGTCCCGGAGGTATACATGTAGTGACTGTGACACCCTCCAAACTTACACTGTCGTCTGTAATAAACACAAACAAACAATGTTACGGTATAACGTACAGAGTTGGTGAGTTTATCGTGACTACAGGATCCGAAGTCTGCAGTGTTAAGAAAGACGGGACGACCAAGACGTTATATCGATATACTGACAAAGTATACGCGTTGTCACATGATTCCAAGGACGGACAGCTCTTTATCGCCCATTTTACCGCCAGTACTGGCAGTACGGCGATTGGTAGGTTGTCTACTGACAATAAGTACACGGACGTGTTGAAGGTTGGTGAAGCTAAGAATCCGTATGGAGTGGACGTCGACATGGAAGGTAACGTCTATGTCTGTGGTTACAGCTCCAACAACGTGGTACAGATGTCCGGGGACGGGACTAACGTCCGGGAACTGTTAACGGCAACGGACAGTATCACATACCCGAGGGCAATATCTGTTTGTGGTGATAAACTGGTGGTAACAAACCAGTCAGGTCAGACGAATTCCATCCAAGTGTTTCAACTTGTATGACTTGCAGAATCAATCGTACACAAGATCGACATTTGACATAATAGTGTATTCTTTATATATCATTAACATAACTGATTTTAATTATTTAACGAAAATGTAAAAATCATTTCTATCTTAAATGAGAATGATGGATAAAATCAAAAGTGTTTGTATTGAAATGAATATATTACGATTAAATTACCAATATCAGTTATGAAAAAAACAAATATTACTTAGTTCTGAATGAAGTGTCAGTTACGCATATACCTTTTGTGTTGACATTGTCGGACTTACAACCAAAGCGGGTGTTTGCAATGTGATATGAATATATACTATAATGTCACATGTGATAACATCCCTCTAATTAAGCATTTGAAACATAAAATGTCGACTTCTTCGTGAATTAAGGATACGAGATAATTGTTAGACTTTTCTTTAATTTAAGCATTGCTAAATTCCTGTACGTTATCAGTCAATTCCAAGTAGATATTTACCTTACTACTGTATTTGTAAACCATTTTAAGTTTCTGACCGTGTTTTTTAGTCTAATAAGGAAGTTTCTCCAATATTGTTTTATAGCGCATTGTTTTATTTCTGATCGAGTCTCAGTCATATAGATTTAGTTCTGATAATAGAGCATTTGCGATAGAATAACTTTCGTCCTTCCACGGCTATTGTGGCCCCGTAACGAAACTCGAGGACCATTTTGGGCTACCCTTTCTGTCGATCCGTTAGTCCGTACATCCGTACGACATTTGTGTTTTAGTTGTGTTAAATGTGTTCTAAAGAGGTTAATGGGTTGTAATGGCCACCTCTGTTGTAATGTACCGTTTGTATGTTTTTGTTGCCATGGTGTTGTGGAAATAACCATGGATATAAAGCTTAATATATTGTATTACCAATAATGTCAGCACCAAATAACGAGAAATATTTAAATATAGTATCATAGTATTGTGCAGTTCGTCATTTTAACTATGTCGATTTATTTACAAAAGTCAGTCCAATGCATGTTGATACCAAACTTTTAGATCCAGAATCAAGGCATTCGTAAGTTCCGTGAAGTACATGACCCAATAATCTTCAATAATCAAACGTAATTTGTCCTAGTGTTTACACATCAAAGGATAATAGTCAAAATCACGATTGCTATTAATATTTCTTTGTTCGTTTCTTTTGTCAAGTCACTCCCTAGAAAAAATGGTATTTCTGTTATTTTGGGTGCCGTTGATTTCCTGGTAAAAGGTACAAAGGGATTCAGAATTTTCTTGGTGAAAATGATGATGTTCTAATCAGCACCTGTCGTGGAGAATGGTAAACCTAAGAGAATGGTAAATCTAAGAGAACATAGATATAGATAGAAAAATGAGAAATATACAATGATTCTGATAGTGAAACATATCCGTTTTAAATGGGCAAGAATAACGTAGACACAAAATAATGATGGAGAAACATTCAGCCTTGGTGGTTTGTATATGTAAAGAGAGTGTCAAACGGTGAGAGGCTGAGAGGTTATCAAAGTGACTTCAGGGATAACACGATATAACATTGTGTGTGCTTGTTTTCTCTTCAGAAACTCCTTAATAAAGTAAGTAATAATAATAATAAAAAGAGTAAAAGTGTATAAGATGTTTTTAGTATTTTTCAATAAATCTCATAAAAATAGGTGTGGTGGTCATACATGTACAAACAATCCAAACATCATGCATGTACATACAGTCCGAACATTATACATGTACATACAATCCGAACATCATACATGTACATGCAGTCCGAACATCATACATGTACATACAATCCGAACATCATACATGTACATACAATCCGAACATCATACATGTATATACAGTCCCGACATCATATATGTACATACAATCCGAATATACAGTCCGAACAGCATTCATGTCCATACAATCCGAACATCATACAAGTACATACAATCCGAAGATCATACATGTACATACAGTCCTAACATCATACATGTACATACAGTCCGAATATCATAAATGTACATACAATCCGAACATCATATATGTACATACAATCCGAATATACAGTCCGAACAGCATTCATGCCCATACAATCCGAACATCATACATGTACATACAATCCGAACATCTAACATGCACATACAGTCCGAACATCAAATATGTACATACAATCCGAATATACAATCCGAACAGCATAAATGTACATACAGTCCGAACATCACATATGTACATACAATTCTCAACATCATACATGTGCATACAATCCGAACATCATACATGTACATACAGTCCTAAAATGATACATGTACATACAGTCCGAACATCATACATGTACATACAATCCGAACATCTTACATGTACATACAGTCCGAACATCATATATGTACATACAATCCGTACATCTTACATGTACAAACAGTCCGAACATCATATATGTACATACAATCCGTACATCATCTATGTACATACAGTCCTCACATCATACATGTACATACAGTCCGAACATCATACATGTACATACATTCCGAACATCTAACATGTACATACAGTCCGAACATCATACATGTACATACAATCCGAACATCTTACATGTACAAACAGTCCGAACATCATATATGTACATACAATCCGAACATCATACATGTACATACAGTCCTCACATCATACATGTACATACAGTCCGAACATCATACATGTACATACATTCCGAACATCTTACATGTACATACAGTCCGAACATCATACATGTACATACAATCCGAACATCTTACATGTACAAACAGTCCGAACATCATATATGTACATACAATCCGAACATCATACATGTACATACAGTCCTCACATCATACATGTACATACAGTCCGAACATCATACATGTACATACATTCCGAACATCTAACATGTACATACAGTCCGAACATCATACATGTACATACAATCCGAACATCTTACATGTACAAACAGTCCGAACATCATATATGTACATACAATCCGAACATCATACATGTACATACAGTCCTCACATCATACATGTACATACAGTCCGAACATCATACATGTACATACATTCCGAACATCTAACATGTACATACAGTCCGAACATCATATATGTACATACAATCCGAATATACAGTCCGAACAGCTTACATGTACATACAGTCCGAACATCATACATGTACAAACAATCCGAACAACATACATGTACATACAGTCCGAACATCACATATGTACATACAATCCTCAACATCATACATGTACATACAATCCGAACATCATACATGTACATACAATCCGAACATCATACATGTACATACAGTCCGAACATCATACATGTACATACAATCCGAACATCTTACATGTACATACAGTCCGAACATCATATATGTATATACAATCCGAATATACAGTCCGAACAGCATACATGTCCATACAATCCGAACATCAAACATGTACATACAATCCGAACAGCATACATGTACATACAGTTCTAACATCATACATGTACATACAATCAGAACATCATACATGTACATACAATCCGAACAGCATACATGTACATACAGTCCTAGCATCATACATGTACATACAATCCGAACAACATACATGTACATACAGTCCTAACATCATACATGCACCAACAGTCCGAACATCATACATGTACATACAATCCGAACATCATACATCTACATACAGTCCGACCATCATACATGTACACACAGTCCGAACATCATACATGTACACACAGTCCAAACATCATTCAGGTACAAACAGTCTAAACATCATACATGTTCTTACAGTCCGAACATCATGCATGCACCTACAGTCCGAACATCATACATATACATATAATCCGAACATCATACAGGCACATGTAGTCCTAACATCATGCATGTACAAACAGTCAGAACATCACACATGTACATACAGTCCGAACATCATATATGTACATACAATCCGAATTTACAGTCCGATCAGCATACATGTCCATACAATCCGAACATCAAACATGCACATACAATCCGAACATCATCAATGCACATACAATCCGAACAGCATACATGTACATACAGTCCTAACATCATACATGTACAAACAGCCAGAACATCATACATGTACATACAATCCGAACATCATACATGGACATACAGTCCGAACATCATATATGTACATACAATCCGAATATACATTCCGAACAGCATACATGTACATACAATCCGAACATCATACATGCAAATACAGTCCTAACATCATACATGTACAAACAGTCAGAAAATCACACATGTGCATACAGTCCGAACATCATACATGTAAATACAGTCCGAATATACAGTCCTAACAGCATATATGTCCATACAATCCGAACATCAAACATGCACATACAATCCGAACATCATACATATACATACAATCCGAACAGCATATATGTATATACAATCCGAACATCATACATGTACATACAGTCCGAACATCATACATGTATATATAATCCGAACATCATACATGTTCATACAGTCCGAACATCATACATGTACATACAGTCCGAACATCATACATGTACCTACAGTCCGAACATCATACATGTAGAAACAGTCTAAAAATCATACATCTACATACAGTCCTAACATCATACATGTACATCCAGTCCGAACATCATACATGTACATACATCTCTGACATCATACATGGACCTAGAGTGGGAACATCATACATGTACAAACAATCCGAACATCATACATGTACATGCATCCGAACATCATACATGTACCTACAGTCCAAAAATTATACATGCACATACAATCCGAACATCATACATGTACCTACAGTCCGAACATCATACATGTTCATACAGTCCGAACATCATACATGTACATACAGTCCGAAAATTATACATGTACATACAATCCGAACATCATACATGTACCTACAGTCCGAACATCATACATGTACTTACAGTCCGAACACCATGTATGTACATACAGTCCGAACATCATAAATGTAAATACAAACCTAACATCATACATGTTTATACAATCCGAACATCGTACATGCACCTACAGTCCGAACATCATACATGTACCTACAGTCAAGACATCATACATCTACATACAGTCCAAACATCATACATGTACCTACAGTCCGAACATCATACATGTACCTACAGTCCGAATATTATACATGCACCAACAGTCCGAACATCATACATGTACATACAATCCGAACATCATACATGTACCTACAGTCCGAACATCATACATGTACCTACAGTCCGAAAATTATACATGCATCATACATCTACATACAGTCCAAACATCATACATGTACACATGTACATACAGTTCTAACATCATACATGTACATACAATCAGAACATCATACATGTACAAACAATCCGAACATCATACATGTACATGCATCCGAACATCATACATGTACCTACAGTCCAAAAATTATACATGCACATACAATCCGAACATCATACATGTACCTACAGACATACAGTCCGAACATCATACATGTACATACAGTTCGAACATCATACATGTACATACAGCTCTGACATCATACATGTACATACAGTCCGAACATCATAGCTGTACATACAATCCGGTCATCTTACATGTACATAAATTCGAATTTCATACCTGTATATACAATCCGAACACCATACCGAACATCATACATGTACATACGGTCAGTACATCATACATGTACATACAATCCGAACAGCATACACGTACATACAGTCCGAACATCATACATGTGCATACAGTCCAAACATCATACATCATACAGTCCGAACATCAAACATGTACATACAGTCTGAACATCATAAATGTACATACAATCCGAACATCATACATGGACATACAGTCCTAACATCATACATGTACATACAGTCCGAACATCATACCTGTACATACAATCCGGTTATCTTACATGTACATAAATTCGAATTTCATACCTGTATATACAATCCGAACACCATACCGAACATCATACATGTACATACGGTCAGTACATCATACATGTACATACAATCCGAACATCATACATGTAAATACATTCCGGACATCATACATGTACATACAATCCGAACAGCATACACGTACATACAGTCCGAACATCATACATGTGCATACAGTCCAAACATCATACATCATACAGTCCGAACATCAAACATGTACATACAGTCTGAACATGATACATGTACATACAATCCGAACATCATACCTGTACATACAATCCGGTTATCTTACATGTACATAAATTCGAATTTCATACCTGTATATACAATCCGAACACCATACCGAACATCATACATGTACATACGGTCAGTACATCATACATGTACATACAATCCGAACAGCATACACGTACATCGAACAGCATATATGTACAAACAATCCGAACATCATACCTGTACAAACAGTCCTAACATCATACATGTACAAACAGCCAGAACATCACACATGTACATACAATCCGAACATCATACATATCATACATGTACATACAGTCCGAACATCATAGCTGTACATACAATCCGGTCATCTTACATGTACATAAATTCGAATTTCATACCTGTATATACAATCCGAACCCCATACATGTACATACAATCCGGCCA